GTATGGTGATTGATCATGACCAGTAGAAGACCCCTATTGATTTTGGGGTCAATGGGTCAAAGGTCAAGATCACAGTTGACCTTGTAAGTATAAACGGTTTCCGATCAATAACTAAAGAACGCTAAGGCCTAGGAACTTCAAACTTGGTATGGTGATTGGTCATGACCAGCAGATGACCCCTATTGATTTTGGGGTCAAGGGGTCAAAGGTCATGGTCACATTGACTGTGTAGGTAAAAACGGTTTCCGATCAATAACTAAAAAACCCTTAGGGCTAGGAACTTCAAACTTGGTATGGTGATTGGTCATGACCAGCAGATAAGCCCTATTGATTTTGGGGTCAAGGGGTCAAAGGTCAAGGTCACATTGACTGTGTAGGTAAAAACGGCAGGTGCTTGAACATCTGGTAGGTAATTCCATCCTTTCCTGCGGCGGAATCACGCCTTTTATTTAAACATGACCAAAATTCCGAGATTGTAGAAGGTAAATTTAAAGGCTTGTCATTTTCCCTTGGCTCATATAATTATGTTTTTATTTTGTGACTCAAACTCGGCCTGGTATCTTAAGGTGTCTGTTAACATGTTTGAGTCACTGGAGACCTGTTTGTAGTGCTTTACTAGAAATTGAGCCTTTTCAAAGGGAGTTTTAGCATAATTTTGATTTAATTTTAATAGTGGTACAGGATTTGTAGCAGAGCCTTTAATTCTTTTAATTTTTTGCCAAAATATTTTGCACTACATTTTTGAGTAGACTGTCACAGACTCACAGAATTCTGAACAGTTTTCCTTTTTAGATTCTAATATAATATGTTTACAATTGGCTTCTGCTATTTCATAAGTTGTTAAATTTCCAGGGCTTGAATTTTTTTAAAATTTATTTATAGCTTTTTAGCTCACCTGAGCTTGCTCAGGGTGAGCTTTTAGGATCGGTGAATGTCCGTCGTCCGTCCGGCCGTCCACAATTGCTTGTGAACACTCTAGCGGTCGCATTTTTGCCTCAATCATCATCAAACTTGGTCAGGATGCTTATCTAGTTGAAAGCTCGGATGAGTTCGAACATGGGTCATCTCGGATGAAAAAACTAGGTCACAAGAGCTAAAAATAGAAAAACCTTGTGAACACTCTTAGAGGTCACATTTTTGACCCAATCATCATCAAACTTTGGTCAGATGTTTGTCTAGGTGATAGCTCGGATGAGTTCGAACATGGGTCATCTCGGATGAAAAAGTAGGTCACAGGAGCTATAAATAGAAAAACCTTGTGAACACTCTAGTGGTCACATTTTTGAACCAATCATCATCAAACTTGGTCAGAATGCTTGTCTAGTCAATTGCTTGGATGAGTTTCGAACATGGGTCATCTCTGATGAAAAACTAGGTCACAGGAGCTAAAAATAGAAAAAACCTTGTGAACACTCTAGTGGTCACATTTTTGACCCAATCATATCAAACTTTGTCAGGATGCTTGTTTAGATAATAGCTCAGATGAGTTCGAATATGGGTCATCTCGGATGAAAAACTAGGTCACCGGAGCTATAAATAGAAAAACCTTGTTAACACTTTAGCGGTCACATTTTTTGCATCAATCATCATCAAACTTGATCAAGATGCTTGTCTAGGTATAGCTCGGATGAGTTTCGAACATGGGTCATCTCGGATGAAAAAACTAGGTCACAGGAGCTAAAAATAGAAAAACCTTGTTAACACTCTAGTGGTCACAATTTTGACTCAATTGTCATCAAACTTGGTCAGGAAACTTGAATAGGTCATTGCTTGGAATAAATCGAACATGGGACATCTCGGATGAAAAACTAGGTCACATGAGCTAAAAATAGAAAAATCTTGTTAACACTCTAGTGGCTACTGTTGTGATCCAAATATTCTGTTAATTGGTCTGAAAGTTTTTTTTGATGATTTCTAAGTCAAGATCAAACATGGGTCATCTTGGACGGAAAACTAGGTCACACACCGCCCAAATATGGAAAAACCTTGTTAACATTCTAGTGGTCACATTTTCGACTCGATTATCATTCAAACTTTGTCAGGATGCTTGTCTAGGTAAATTGCTTGGATTAGTTCGAAATCGCATGTGAAACTAGGTCACCGGAGCTAAAAATAGAAAAATCTTGTTAACACTCTAGTTGCTACTGTTTTGATCCAAGTATCCTGGAAATTGGTCTGAAAGTTTGTTTTGATGATTTCTAGGTCAAGTTTGAATATTGTGTCACCTGGGTAAAAAACTAGGTCGCACTGCTCAAATATGGATAATCCTTGTTAACACTGTAGTGGTCACATTTTTGACTCACCTGTCATGAGACTTGGTCAGAATGCTTGTCTAGGTAATTATTTGGATGAGTTTGATAATTCAGGTGAGCGATCTAGGGCCATCATGGCCCTCTTGTTTACTTTCCTGTACCGCTTTTTTCTTGTTAACACTCTAGAGGCTACTGTTTTAATCCAAATATCCTTGAAATTTGACTGAAAGCTTGTTTTGTTGATTTCTATGTCAAGTATAAATATGGGTCACCTGAAGTCACACGGCCCAAATATGGAAAAACCTTGTCAATTGGTCACATTTTTGACTCAATTGCCATCAGACTTGATCAGAAACCTTGTCAAAGTAATTGTTGGATGAGTTTAATGGGTCAGGTGAGCTATCAAGGGCTGTCTTGGCCCTCTTGTTATTGAAAAAGATGCAAATCAGTCAACCAACTTATAATGCATATGAATTAGTATTTGGTCACTTGTAAGGAAAATTGTCAATTTCTGATTTGTTTACCAGAATAGTCAGATGGGTCAGCTGCCGGGATTTGACCAAATACTTGTGTTGCAATTGGCATTAAAATTCATAGTAACCATTGGTTTTCCATATCAACCAAGGTCTTTTGTTGAGCTACCTTAGTAACCAATGAATTGACTTTCCTTAGAAACCAGTGAATCTCAAAATAAATATTTACTTCCCTAAGCCACAACTAACTTTAAACACAGCAACCATTGGCTTATCTTAACAACTGACTTCAATAGAAGCCTTTACCATCAATAGCAACATATGACTTAAATAGCAACTGTTGACTTCCCTAAGCCACAACTGACTTCCATAACAGCCTTTGACCATCCATAGCAACATATGACTAAGTTAGCAACTGTTGACATTAAGTACCGCTAAAGCCCGTGCTAGGGGGCATGAGGGATGTTGCACTTATTAATTATCCCTCATGTACAGACTCAAACAGAGTCTGCAATTTTCATGTTATTTTGTTGTGATTAATGCTTCCAATAGATCACTTTGCTTCCGGATTTTTATGCTTCACAAAAGCAGGTGTCAAGTGCCATGTGGAAGCTATAAAAAGTTGCCCTGTACTTCACTTCAGTCTGGTCCTTCGGGATAATTGATGGCATTGAGAATTGATTACCGCTCAAGCCGGTGCTAGGGGCATGAGGGATGTTGCACTTATTCATATTCCTCATGTACAGACTCAATCAAACCCAGTCTGCAATTGTCATATTATTTTGTTGTGATTAATGCTTCTAAGGGATCACTTTCTTTCCAATTTTTTTTCCCTTAGCCACAACTGACTTCCAAAGCAACAGACATTGGCTTTTTTCAGCAACAGCTGACCTCCATAACAGCCTTTACCATCCATGGCAACATGTGACCTATATTATAAATAGCGGCTGTTGACTTCCCTCAGCCACAACTGATTTCTCAAACCATCCAATGGCAACATCTGACTTAGATAGCAACCATTGACTGTCCTTAACTATTAGTGATTTCCATTACAACTATTGACTGCCTTTAGCAACCAGTGACTCTCATAGCAACCATTTCCCTTCTTTGGCTAGCAATGACTTCATTAGCAACCATTTTCCATAGCAATCAGTTAAATTTTTAGCTTTACTATTAAATCATTATATCAGACATATAGTAGCTCACCAAGGTGTCCCAGTGGTGTTGGCATCCGCATCACACTTTTTGTTAAGTTTTCTTACCACCCCACCTATTTCCTATACCCTTTGAGGTATTGCTGTGAATACTTGTTTGTAGTCATCTTCCCCACTTCCAAGGAAGAGGACATAACTGTCATGGATTTTGACAAAATTAAGCCCCTTTTTACATTTAGAATTTTGAATAAATTTTTTGTACCAACACACTTATTTTCTATACCTTTGTAATATTTTGCTTTGAAACTTTAAATACTTTTCAGTGACCATCATTCCCACTTCTAGCCAAGTACTTAAAATAGTGGAGTAGACTGTTTTATTAACAGTCCTTTAAGCTACAGTTTTTATATTGTCCTATGTGAGTTATACAATGATTTTTGGTGGCAATACATGACGCTATATTCCGATAAATTCTGTAATCAGTTGACCCAGTGACCTTCTTTTTTATTGAGTGCTAAAGGTTTGAAATTTTGAAAATCTGAGCTCAAACCCTGCGTTATTCTATAATAAAACAATTAACATAAATATCTATGATTATAAATAGATTTTGTAAATATATTCATGTATACATTTTTATATTAAAACCTATAAATTTTCAATTATGCAAGTGCCTGCATTTCTCATAAGGGATTTAACCATTTAAAAAAACTATTAAAGGAACGTCACTGAGGTCAAAAAGCATAAAACATGAAATTTGAAACTCTTACAAAGATTAGTTTCGGCACTTAAGTCAGAAATATGTGAAAAAGGAAACCAAGAAATCAAATCATAAATAAATTGAGCATTGTAATGCTTTTTAATTTCATGTCATTTTTTTCCCTTAATAAAATAATTCTTCTGGAAAAACTGACTGCAAATTGTGAGCCAAGTCTGAAATGTTGCACACAAGTTTAATCTAGACCTACATAAAATGGGTTTTTAGAAATGGTGATGTTATGTTAGCCCAAGTATTAGAATTTGTGTTTTAATGTTGACTGAATGCTGCTCACAATATACATGATACATTATAATAATATTCTGATAAAACTTGAAGTTACAAATATTGTGTTATTTTAGAGTCATGCTTTCATTTACAATCAGGTATCATGTGGTGTGAAGGTGTACTTTCCAAAGAAAAATGAAGGTTCTATGGAACATCTGTGGATATGCTCCTCTAATGAAGGTCATGGTCAAGTGTCTGTTGTATCTCTTCATACAGACAAGCCATCTCTAATAGAATCATTTCAGGCTACTAAATGTATGATTATATGTGTCGAGACTGTGCCAGGTTATGCCAGGGTCAGATCAAAGGCAGCATTTGAAGAAGACACAGTCTGGATGAGTACATCAGACTCAGAGTAAGTTTTTGAAAATCTTAGAACAAATCTGAAATTTCCTAGCTTATGATCAGCTGTTATAAACACATTTTTTATGCCACCGCAGCATCTGCGATGCGGTGGCATATAGCGATTCACCTGTGTGTGTGTGTGCGTGTGTGTTTGTGTGTGTGTTCTATAGATTATATAGTTAACTTAAAAAATCTTCTTGTGAAAAACCACTAGTCCAATTTCAACTAAACTTGGAAGGATTGATCCTTGGGTAAAGGGCTTCCAAAGTTGTTCAAAGAATTTCATTCCATGCAGAAATCTGGTTTCCATGGCAACCAAAAGGAATACAAGAATAAATTTAAAAAATCGTTATGTAAAGATCCAAAAGGCCTAGAGCTTAGATATTGTCCAAGATTGTCCAAATTATAGCCCTGAGGTCAAAATCGGCCCCGCCCTGGGGGTCATTGATTTTCACTATATGTGTATGTCCTTATAGTAAAAACTTAAAATACCTTCTTGTAAAGACCCAAAAGGCATAGAGCTTAGATATTTTGCATAAGGCATTGTCTGGTAGACCTTTACCAAGATTGTTCAAATTATAGCCCTTTGGTCAAAATCGGCCCCACCCCGGGGGTCATTGATTTTCATTATATGTACAAATAGTAAAAACTTAAAATACCTTCTTGTAAAGACCCAAAAGGCCTAGAGCTTAGATATTTTGCATAAGGCATTGTCTGGTAGACCTCTACCCAGATTGTTCAAATTATAGCCCTGGGGTCATAATCGGCCTTGCTCCTGGGGGTCATTGGTTTTCTTATATGTATATAGTAAGAACTTATAGTAGAACTTTAAAAAAATTTCTTCTAGCAATTGACAAATGCTAGAGGTTAGATATTTTGCATGATGTATTGTGTAGTGAACCTCTAGCAATTGATTGTTCAAATTATAGCCCTGGGGTCAAAATTGCCCCCCGCCCCAGGGGTCATTGATTTTCAATATATACATATAGTAAAAAATCAAAAAATCTTATTGTCTGAAGGTACAAAGCTTAGAGCTTTAATATATGTTAAATGATATCATCTATAGGTACTCTACCAAAGTTGTTCAAATTTTGCCTCTAGTGTCAAAATTAGCCCCGCCCTGGTATCCATAGGTTTTCCTTATATGTATATAGTAAAAACTTAAAAAATCATCTTCTCTAAATTTACAAAGGCTAGAGTTAAGATATTTTGCATGAAACATTGTGTAGTGAACCTCTAGCAAGATTGTACAAATTATAGCCCTGGGATCAAAATTGGCCCCAACCCCAGGGGTCTTTGATTTTCACTATGTACATATAGCAAAAAAATTATAAAATCTTCTTGTCTGAAGGTACAAGGCTTAGAGCTTTGATATTTGGTATATAATATCATCTATGGGTCCTCTACTAAAGTTGTTTTAATTATGCCCCTAGTGTTAAAATTGCCCTGCCACAGAGGCGATAGTTTTCCTTATATGTATAAAGTTAAAGAAAAACTTGAAAAATCTTCTTCTCTAAATTTACAAAGGCTAGAGTTAAGATATTTTGCATGAAACATTGTGTAGTGAACCTCTAGCAAGATTGTACAAATTATAGCCCTGGGGTCAAAATTGGCCCCACCCCCAGGGGTCTTTGATTTTCACTATGTACATATAGCAAAAAAATTATAAAATCTTCTTGTCTGAAGGTACAAGGCTTAGAGCTTTGATATTTGGTATATAATATCATCTATGGGTCCTCTACTAAAGTTGTTTTAATTATGCCCCTTGTGTTAAAATTGCCCTGCCCCAGAGGCGATAGTTTTCCTTATATGTATAAAGTTAAAGACAAGAGGGCCATGATGGCCCTGAAGTCGCTCACCTGTATATAGCCCCCCCCCCCTCCCGGGCCAATTTTTACCCAAGGGCTTTTATTTGAAACAGACTTGGTAGACACCCATAAGAAGATGTTTCATGCTAAACATCTAAGTTCTAGCTCATTGGGTTTTTTAAAAGAAGATTTTTTAAGTTTTTACTATACACATATAGTTAAAAACAATGACACCCCTGGGGCAGGGCCAGTTTTGACCCCCGGGCTTTTATTTGAACAAACTTTGTAGATATTTACTTAAAGATGTTTCATGTATAATATCTAAACCCAAGCTATTTGGGTTTTTTCAAAGAAGATTTTTAAGTTTTGCTATACACATATAAGGAAAATCAATGACCCCCGGAGCGGGCCAGTTTTGACCCCAGGGCTTTTATTCGAACATACTTGGTAGACACCCATTAGAACATGTTTTATGCTAAATATCTTAGCTCTAGCTCTTTGAGTTCTTTAAAAGAAGATTTTTTTTTAAGTTTTTACTATATGCATATAGGGAAAATCAATGACCCCCCGGGCCGGGGCCAATTTTGACCCCAGGGCTTTTATTTGAACAAACTTGGTAGACACTCACTAGAAGATGTTTCATGCCAAATATCTTAGCTCTAGCTCTTTGGGTTCTTTAAAAGAAGATTTTTTTAAGTTTTTACTATATGCATATAGGGAAAATCAATGACCCCCTGGGGCGGGGCCAATTTTTGACCCTAGGGCTTTTATTTGAACAAACTTGGTAGACACTCATTAGAAGATGTTTCATGCCAAATATCTAAGCTCTAGCTCTAACGGTTCTTTAAAAGAAGATATTTAAAGATTTTTCTTTCGGTTGCCATGGCAACCAGAGTTCTGCATGAAATGGAATTCTTTGAACAATCTTGATAGAGCTTCATACAAAGAGTATTCCTGCCAAGTTTCATTAACATTGGCCTTGCGGTATCATAGAAGATGTCCTTAGAATATTTAAAATGTGGACGGACGACGGACGCCATTTGGTTGGCCATCCTAAAAGCTCACCTGCACTTGTGCAAGGTGAGCTAAAAAACTTGAAAAATCTTCTTCTCTAAATTTACAAAGGCTAGAGTTAAGATATTTTGCATGAAACATTGTGTAGTGAACCTCTAGCAAGATTGTACAAATTATAGCCCTGGGGTCAAAATTGGCCCCACCCCCAGGGGTCTTTGATTTTCACTATGTACATATAGCAAAAAAATTATAAAATCTTCTTGTCTGAAGGTACAAGGCTAAGAGCTTTGATATTTGGTATATAATATCATCTATGGGTCCTCTACTAAAGTTGTTTTAATTATGCCCCTAGTGTTAAAATTGTCCTGCCCCAGAGGCGATAGTTTTCCTTATATATGTATAAAGTTAAAAAAAACTTGAAAAATCTTCTTCTCTGAATTGACAAAGGCTAGAGGTTAAATATATGGCATGAGACTTTGCGAAGTGTATCTCTACCAAGATTGTTCAAATTATAGCCCTGGGGTCAAAATTGGTTCTGCCCAGGGGGTCAATGATTTTCATTATGTACATATAGGGAAAAAAAAATGTAGTAAAAACAGAAAATAAAACAAATGTTTTCTGAATGGGAGAAAGCTACAGCTTAGATATTTGACTTGAAATGTTGTTTGGTGGACCTGTATCAAGATTCTCTTGAATTAAGCCCTTGGGTCAAAATTATGCCTTGCCCAAGGGGACGATGACCTACTTTCTTGTCCTTTGATGTACAGCAATGAAATTTGAACCATGTGCACAGATTAAGATGTAAAGTGAATTTTGATATCAGCTGACCTAGATTTTGATAAAGTGTCTTACTGTGTTGTCCTTTGATGTAGTCATGAAATTTAGGCTGTGACGAGCCTAATTTCTGTTACGAGCCAGGCGTAACGAGAAAGAAAAGCCAGCGACTAACGTGTAACAATTACAAATTTATTACAGAAAAATTATTAAAGAAAAATTAAATAACAATTTATGTTTACAAATACCTGAAGTCCAAATAAAAATGAAATCTCAAATGTCTAGTCTGATCCTGGAATGATCCCTTTTTTGAACAACACAGTTAAATCCGAATTAAATCCAAGAACACTTTAGAATAAATCCCCACAATAAAATCCACAAGAATAATTTTAACTATTTTAAAATCAAAGCTCCAATAAATCACTTAATATCCAAGTTGAATGATACTCCAAATGTTAATTGATGACTTAAAAGGTAACTGATGACTTAAAAGAACTAACTATGACCTTCACCAAATTCACTAGAGTAGACTCAAGTGCATTGATATATTCCTACTCTGATCTTTTATTGGATTAACAATAAATTTAACCACTAATCTGATAATAAGAATTAGATAGGTCAGGGATCTATGCATTATGACAATCTTCAATTGTATAGAAACAAAAAAAATCTGTTCCAACACTACTATTTAGTGTTGTATTAATGCGGTGGCATAGCATTTTTCTCAAATGCAATCTTGTTTCCATTTTGTAATAAATTATGTAAGCCAGTCTAAACCTTTTAGCTTTTCATTGACTGTTTATGATCATATAGTTAAATTTTGAAATGTTTTTTTTTTCTTTTTATTTTAAAGGAGAAATCTTAGTTTCTAATTGGCAATTTGTAATGAAATCTCTTAATTCATTGAGAGCCAGTCATACTTTTTATTCTAACTTTATACTTTATTTTACCTTTATGCTAACTTTATTTTTCTAACTTTTAATTTGCTATGACTATGTGATCACATTTTTGATGATTTCAAGAGAATATGAAGCACCTTCTTTCTTTTACTTTAGTAATTTCAAGGGGCAGACACTAGAACTTAAGAACTTTTCTACTGTAATTACAGGATCCAAGTATTTATGCTAAGTGAAAGGCAAGCAGACTTACATAGACACTGTATTTATACATTTGAAGTTGGCTGTATAACTATCTCTATGAGATACATTGATGATCTTATGTTTTGTGGAAATAGGAATGGGAAGGTGATCATTTTCTGCAGAAATGATGGTTTGTATTAATAATTATTATCTTATCTTATGCTTTTGTTGTGATGTGACAGTGAGATCAGTGAAATATATATCATATCACACTGTTTTAAATGAAATGAAATATAGAATATCAGTTTGTGTAAACATTGAAAGATATAACAAAGTAGATTACACAGCAATTTAATTTATAGCATGCGTAAATGAACGCAAGAAATTTCAAATATGGTGCATTGTTAGTTGATTTTGAAGCGTAAAATATGCCGATACGCACGTTATCTGGAACTCTGATATGCCATTTATCTATATCTTTTGGTACTATAATATATAGCAATGTATATACTATTTATATCTTTTACTACTATATATAGATCTGTATATTAGAACAGTGTAATCGTTTTTGCTTCTAGGACAATGTGGAGCATCAGCTTACAGAGAAAGATGACCAAACAATACATTTTGAGTATTTAGTGAAGACTGGTGTTGGGGTATGGGCATCTTTCATTGGTCAGCCAAATATCTGCCTGTACCACAGTGAGAGCAGGCGACTGCTACAGGACTTCAATATCTGCACTGCTGTCCATGAATTCATTAAAGGTAAACTTACGTGTTAATCTCAATTGTTCACTATTGAAATATGTACTATGCTCATGTTAGAGTAAAATATTTCTATCTCAGAAATCTATGTAATTCATTCTGAATACGTCTTATTTAAATAAAAGAATGTACAAACTGTACATGGCAAGCTGCATAGACTATTACATGTCAAGTAAAGTTGGTCCTTTCTTAAAAAACTGTCAGGTTTTTTTTTTAATGACACTAGATATTCAAATTGTGTCCACCTATAGTGTGTAGGGTTTAAAACATAAGATATATACTTTGTGTGTCTTCAAAACATGATTATTCTATATCTACAAAGAGACTGTTTAGCAATTATCAATATTTAAAAATATAAAATTTGTGCATAGTATATCTGTATGACAATTTTGATTTTATTGATTCATTTTATGTGTAGTTAAGATAAAATAAAACTAATGTAACACATGTGACAACTTTTACCACTCCTAAACAACATGCGGATGATTTAATTACTTGAAGAATAAGGACAATAATATATATATATCTCTTTCTGGGGGTACTATAGAAATGGCCATCATCTCTCCGTCCATCTGTTCGTCTGTCTCTCCATCCTTAACACTTTCATGTCTGCTTCATTACTTTTGAACCACTGAAATTTTTATAAGCCTGTTTGTTCACCTTTGTGAGGTGGAGTTTGCGTGCAAAATTTAGGTCCCTGTGGCCAAGGTCACACATAAGGGGTCAACCGGGGACTACCGGTGTGAAACATGTAATTAAGGTTAACATATGAAAGGTCAAGGTCACAAAATATGATAAAATATAGAAATTTTGTCCAGAGCGTATCTCCTCCACGCATGGTGGGATTCTTCATAGAAATGTTCACCACTATGAGAAGCAGTGTCAGGTGCATGAACCATGTCTGTCAACTAAAGGTTAAGGTCATTTAAAAATGCTTGTTCGGTGCCAAAATTCTACATTCATCGGGGGATTTTAATGTAACTTGGCACAAATGTTCACCATTGTGAGGCTTATTGCAAACATAATCCAGGTCCCTGCTACCAAAGTCAAGGTCACATAGAGAGGTTAAAAATTCTGTACTTGTTAATATCTGCTAAATTGATATTTATCATGCCCCTGTGGTCAAAATTGATCTGCCCCAGGGTCACTTGCACTTGATAATAGGAAAACAAATTTAAGTCTTATTGTGTGAAACTACAAAGCACAGAGCTTAGATATTTGGCATGTAGTATAAATTTGTTAATTTCTACAAAAGTTGTATTAATCATGACCCTCAGGTCAAAATTGGACATGCTACATGAGTCACCTGCTTTATGTTATGTACACTAAGGAATTTTTGTGGATAAAAACTAGGCCTCTATATTTGGCACATAGCATTGCCGAGTTGGCCTCTATAATAGTAGCCAAATGTCCGTATACAATTTCTAACTGCATAAACTGCTATACTTTTCAGTATATTCTGGAATAGAGGAAAGAAAGAATTTTCAAGTTACTTGTTTAATGGCAAGTCTTGGGCTGCTGTGGGTTGGAACTAATGTTGGAATAATACTGGTATATCCTCTTCCAAGATTACGAGATGGCGTCCCAAGAATTAACGAGCGTCCACAAGTAGCTCTCCACAGTCATAGTGGAGCAGTAAAGTTTCTATTACCGATGCATTACGGGCCAGTTAGTGGGGCACCTATAAGAAGAAGGATGGAATCTGTCCTTAAGAAATACAAAGTTGATGACTCTGTAATAAGACATTTATCTATTGTTGATGAAAACGAGACAGCTGACAGTAGACCAAATTCTTATATAAGTTTGGATGCTGTTGGCATGGTGACAGGTGATAATGTGTATGAAGATGTTGATTTCCAAGGTTATAAAAGAGATACTGACAGTCAGATTTATGAAGAAATTCCAAGTAAAGTGACGGAAGTTAAAGGTAGTGCTAATAAAAATCCTGCAGTAGTACCTAAAGGGGATGACCAGGTTGAAGACAAGGAATCAGATCTGATTCAATCTGATGAGCACAAATATTTCATTTTAGAACCTCATTGTAGAGAAACTAACAAAACTGATGAAAAGTCAAGTGCAGTAGGTGAGAGCAAAGTTGAGATGGAAGGTGGTTCAGATATAACTGAAACCTCCGATGATGTATTCCTTAGACCGAAAAATAAGAACAAAAATATTTATGTAAGAAAGAAAAGGAATTGTGATATGGACCGGAAATCAATGACTTTGTCTTACGATGCATCTTTACACGGCAAACAGTCTAAAGTATTTCATTCAGAATTAAAAAATGCGTTAAAGCATAGAAAGTCTCTGGAAGACTTGACTGATAGAGATGCTACACAAGATGAAGTTAGTAATTTATATCCAACTTTAGTCAGGCCAAAAACAATTTCAAATCCGGCAAAATCATTACGAGACAGTGGCCTTTCTTCAAGTTTACCGGATATTAGGGACGAGTCTAAGAAAGAGAAAGATAAAGACTCCCTGTACTTCCGACCACGAATGAGTAGTGGAATAAAAGCGAAAAAACCGGAACTCTCTCCTCCAAGTAAAGACTCGACAAAAAAGGAGAAAAAGCCGTCTCGGTTTTCTAAGCGAGATTCTACACCGAAAGAAACTAGACGTTCTGTTTCCTTTAACAAGGATGACACAATGGAAAATAAGAGAAAGTCGGCAGTTGGTACCAGTTTTTCACAGGGCTCATCAGTAGATACTCTCAGAAAGCAAGACACTAATACAATAATGGTAATTAGTGGAGGTGATGGTTATAAAGATTGGAAGAAGAGGCAAAGTTTACCAAATTACAGACCAGAAGAGCCATGTCTTATGTTTTGGATGTACAAATTCTAGATACATTATATTTACTTCTGTTTAATATTGATGCAATAAAAAAAGCATGTACTAGATGTTTTAGATATATATTTTATAGTACATTACAGTAAAGCTGGACTGTGATTTACATGCTGTACATTTCTGAAAAAGCAGTTTGATATGAAAAGAATGTTGTTAATTTGTTAAATATAAATAATTTATTGAAATATATATTTGTTTTGAGAATCAACCTGTAATAAGAGACAACATTTTTAATTTTTTTAGATTGTTATTTTTAAGTTTCATTCCATATGTACCAATAATTCATTCCATGTTCATGCATAGCATTATTGTCCTCTGCTTTTTGCTAAGAGTCTGCAATACTCTCATTCATGTGATTATTCTACAATATACAGGTATATTATACATAAAGGTTGACATTTCCTTTTTTAGCTCACCAGTCACAAAGTGACAGGGTGAGCTTTTGTGATCGCTTTTCGTCCGGCGTCCGTCCGTCCGTAAACTTTTACTTTAAATGACATCTCCTCATAATCCACTAAGCCAATTTCATCCAAACTTCGCAGGAATGTTCCTTTGGTGGTCACCTTTAAAAATTGTTCAAAGAATTTAATTCCATGCAGAACGCTGGTTGTCATGGCAACCAAAAGAAAAAACTTTAAATATCTTCTCTTAAAAAAACCCAAGAGCTAGAGCTTAGATATTTGGCATGAAACATCTTCTAATGAGTGTCTACCAAGTTTGTTCAAATAAAAGCCCTGGGGTCAAAATTGGCCCCGCCCCAGGGTGTCTTTGATTTTCCCTATATGCATAAAGTAAAAACTTAAAATATCTTCTTTTAAAGAACCCAAAGAGCTAGAGCTAAGATATTTAGCATGAAACATCTTCTAGTGAGTGTCTACCAAGTTTGTTCAAATAAAAGCCCAGGGGTCAAAATTGGCCCCGCCCCAGGGGGTCTTTGATTTTCCCTATATGCATATAGTAAAAACTTAAAAAATCTTTTTTTAAAGAACCCAAAGAGCTAGAGCTAAGATATTTGGCATGAAACATCTTCTAATGAGTGTTTACCAAGTTTGTTCAAATAAAAGCCCTGGGGTCAAAATTGGCCGCGCCCCAGGGG